CTGTGCTTCGAAATGTTGCGACACGATCTCTTCTGTTGTCTTAGTTGGGGCTCTTTCTGTTGCAAGTGACAGAAGCCCAATGTGAAGGAGCCTGTGCCGGGGGCTCCTGCCCTGGGGGCTCCTGAGGTGCGGCCGCCCTTGGTCCCTGCTCTGCCGCTTTCTGCAGATGGCTTTGTCTCTACTGCCAGCAGGACGTCTGCTCACGGTGGGACACGTGTAGACACAGTGTTGACGTCTTAAAGCCTTACTTCTCATTCCGCTATGCAAGGAGTGACTTCAGCTGCCAGCCCTGGTTCCCAAGGCTCCAGGAGAGGTTCTGTGGGACTAGACCCGGGTCAGTGGCTCTGACAGGGACAGGATCGTGCAGCACAGGCATGGCCGTGGGCCAAAGGGCTTCTTGTGCCCAGGCTGCTGCCGGCTCACGTCCAGGTCATTTCTCCTACGCCGCAAATCCTGCTTGCCCAAAGTAAAAATGGAGCTTGTCAAGTTAGCACGGTGGACATTGGTGCACTTACGGGACAGAGAAGGCTCGAACTTCATTCTGAGGGGAAAGAAGCCAGCCCTGGCGTTATTACTCTGTTAGATAACCCTGTCTCTCTGGGGTTTACGAGTATCTTCACCCCATCGCAAGTGACCAGGAAGGACTTCTGGGCCTCACCCACCTCACTGTTGCGGTGAGTCCCTAGCACTGGTAAGATGACCTGTGGGTTGGGTCACGGGCTCCTGGAGTGCTCTGCCTGCTGTGATGCGTGAAGTTCTTCTATTCACCATGTCTCAGTGAAACTCAGTCCCACAAGCCCCCCCAGGAGAGCTGGTTTTGTCCCGAGTGCCAAGATGCGTAAGTGGCTGGTCGGTTCCTTAGGACGCTGCAGTCCGGTAAGGAGAGCAGAGGGTGCAGCAGCCCTTACGGCTGGGTGAGGGGTATGAGGACTCCGGGCAGGGACAGCTGCTCAGAGAGAGGGGTCAGGACAGTCATGACCATCGGGTGGATGGCTGAGGCAGGATGTCACTGCAGGCTCATTGTCCCTAGTCCTGACCAGACTTGCTGTGACCACCTGGCTGCGCCCTGAAGAGGGCAGAGGAATTGCTCAGGTGGGGCCAGGGCACAGGGCTGAGGCCTGCAGTCAGGCCGTGCCAGTTTGCAGAGAACATCTGGGGCGCCCCTGAGCAGGCGGCTCTTCTGAATCGTTCCGTGTTCTGCTCTCTGTTTTCTGCCTTGGGAAGTGATTATTTTTCAACACGTTCTCTTAAATGCGGCGGGGGCAGGGCACTAGAGGCATCCAGGCATGAAGGCAGCCCCCAGGCCAGTGGGGCTGGGGGAGCTGGGCTGGGTGGGGGCTGCAGGGCAGGAGGCTATGCTCCCATCACGGTCTGTCCCTGGCGTGAGCAGCGCTGGTCATGACAGTTCTGGGGTGGAGCTTGCTTTTCGATGGAAGCCACTCTCCCCGGGACGTGCCTGCCTGCCTTTATTATTATAGTTTAATGTCTTAGCCTCCCTGCCTTTATTATAGTTTAATGTCTTTCGTTGTCCATGTTAAAAATGCTTGTGTTTATTTTGCACCAACTGTTCAAAAAACCCCACCCATTCTAAAATCCAAATAGGATTTCATCTGAGTTCTACAACAGCCTGGCAAAGGGCAAGTCAATGAAATCAATATGATCTGCCCTAGCGTCCGTGTATTTTCCAGCCTGCTCCATCGCTAATCACTCCTGAAGCCGCCTTGGTGCCCCGGCTTTATTGATTGCCTCTGCAGAAGAATGTGGGTGGGGGGGTCCCCAAGGACACAAGGACGTCACTGGCAGGGCCGGAGACAGAGGCACGCTCTCCAGAGGCCTGTCCTGCTGCTGCTGCTGAGCAGGACTTCGGGCCAGCGGCCACCCATCATGACATCGAAGCCGGCCCCAGAGATACCAGGACCGAGGCCCCAGGGTGGCATCGCCCGCTCCACCTCCGCAGAGAGACGTCCCTGTGAGCTTGGGGTGTGGAGCAGACCAGGGAGGAGCCCTCTGTAGATGCCTTGGGCTTGGAGGTGTCGGCATGGATGAAGGCTCAGATGGAATCACCCCAGTTCTGCTGCTCCAGTAGCTGTGTGGCTGTGGGCAGGTTCTTCAAGCTGTGCCTCAGTTTCCTTGTCTGTAAAGGGGGATGTCATGTACCCTCAGAGCAGGGTTGAGGTGAGGAGTCCACCAGAGCCTGTCTGTGAGGTGGAGGGGCTTGAGTACCGTCCACTAAAAGCTCATGTCTGCTCGGAACCTGGGAATGTGACCTTTTTGGAAATGGTCTTTGCAGATGTGATTAAATAGGGGTTGGAGATGGGATCATCCTGGCCTAGGGTGGGCACCAGATCCAAAGACTGGTGTCTCTGCAGGAATAGAAGACAGAGACGCAGGAGGCAGCCACATGAACACAGGGGCAGAGACTGGGGCCACGCGGCCGAAGCCAGGAGCACCGAGGACTGCCATGGTCGCCATGGAGAGGCCTGGGACAGACACCACTGCAGCCCCTCCAGAGAATGCAGCCCACCCCCCGCAGCTCACTCAGCCTTCCGGCCCCTGAGCTGTGAGAAGATGCAGTTCTGTTTTAAGCTGCTCTGTTTGGACACCTTGTTACAGCAGCCCCAGGAAGCCACTCAGTGGGCGTTTGTGGTCGGCCACCGATCATTCCCAAGGTCACGTCCCCATCCTAAGCCCTGGAACCTGTTCACATGACCTGTTGTGGAAAAAGGGCTTTTGCAGATGTAATTAGCTTAAGGATCTTGAGATGAGAAGATTATTCTGGATTCCCGTGGGCCCCAAATACCATCTTCAGTGGCTCCCCAAGAGATCTGGCACACAGAGGAGGCTGTGTGACCAGAGGAGAGACTGCAGTGATGTGGCCACAAGCCAAGGGCACCGGGAGCCCCCAGGGGCTGGAAGAGGAGAGGAAGGAGCCTCTCTAGGAGTGGCCACCGTCAGCAGCCACCAAAACGGGGAGGGAATCAGTTCTGTGGTCTCATACTTGTGTCTTATGGCAGCCTCAGGAAACAGACGCACTGTTTCCCATTCGCAGCCTGGCCTCTATCCCCATCTGGGGGTTTCCCCACAGCCTGGCCTCTCCCCATAGCCCAGGGTCTCCCCACAGCCAGGCCTCTCCCCATATCCTGGGGTGTTCCTGCAGTCTGGCTTCTCCCCATAGCCTGGGGTCTTCCTACAGCCTGGTATCTTCCCACAGCCTGGGGCCTTCTCACAGCCCAGGGTCTCCCCATATCCTGGGGTCTCCCCATATCCTGGGGTCTCCCCACAGCCTAGGGCCTTCTCATAGTCTGGGGTCTTCCCACATCCTGGGGTCTCCCTGCAGCCTGGGACCTTCTCATATCCTGGGTCTCCCCACAGCCCGGGGTCTCCCCATATCCTGGGTCTCCCCACAGCCCGGGGTCTCCCCACAGCCTGGGGCCTTCCCACAGCCTGGGGCCTTCTCACAGCCTGGGGCCTTCTCACAGCCTGGGGTCTCCCTGCGGTCTACCCATGGTGCCAGGGCAGCTCTTCCTCCTGACAGGTGTGAGGGGCCCTGGGTGTAGAGAAAAACTCCACCCGTCGGATGCGAATTTCAGCAGCCCTGGGTTGGGTGAGTTTCCTGGAGCTGTGGCTGAGGGGTCAGGGGTGCTGTTCGCTGACTCTCCAGCTCAGCACGCCCAGGGAGCTGGCGGGGTTCCCTGACACAGGGCAGCAGGTGGAGGCTGAGACAAAGGCCGAGCCAGCCGGGGGCTCTAGGGAGACGCACCAGGCCCACTCCACAGGCAGCAGGACCCCAGGCTCACTGTGGGCATTTGAGGAGTAGGTATCAGGGCGGCCAGAAGCAGCCAGGGTGGAGGTCGTGGGGGATCATCTTGGTGGGCAGAGCCTCGGGGCCCTGGGGTGGAGGGAGTGAGGCTGGAGAGCCTGGCTGGCTGCGCTGGCAGGATAACGCCTAACACGGTCCCGGAGATGGCGCTTCTCCCACGGACAAGGGTGGCTAACGCGGGAACAGACTGTAATCAGGTCCCAGGTCCAATAAAGGTAAACCTCGAGGCGGAAAGGACCTAGCTGCAGGTGAGCGCAGTCCTTCATGTGTGAGTGCATGTGTGTGTTGTATGTGTAAGCGTGTGGCCCAGAGCCCGTCCATGGCAGCCCATTGGTGGGTCTGGCCCTGCCTCCAGATTCAGCTCGCCAGTGCAAAGCAATATGCAGTGTGTGAAAAGGCAACACAGATCCGTGGCACCACCATGAGCCTCCGTGTTAGATTTGGAATGGAATCCCTCCCTCCCTCCCACTTTAAACTGTGAGTCCTTGGAAAAGTTACCTGACCTTTCTCATGTTCACATTCTCACCTGTAAACCCTCCCGGAGTTGAAATGAGCCGTTAAGTGAAACACCGTGTGGCAATGGGGGTGGAGATGGGGGAGGCGCGCAGTCACCCTCGCCTTCCTTTTCTTTTTCTTGGTAATTGTGTTCTTCTATGTCAAAGGAAAAGAATAAAACCCGAAAATTATTTGGGGGAAAAAGAAAAAGACACACATGCAAGTGCCACAGGAAGCTGTGGGGTTCAGCCTGCAGGGGAGAGACGCTCTGTGGTCTTCGGGAAGTCAGTGGGGTGTGTTAGATTTGGAATGGAATCCCTCCTCCTCCCACTTTAAACTGTGAGTCCTGGAAAAGTTACCTGACCTTTCTCATGTTCACATTCACCTGTAAACCCTCCCGGAGTTGAAATGAGTCAAGTATGAAACACTGTGTGGCAATGGGGGTGGAGATGGGGGAGGCGCGCAGTCAGCCTCGGGCCGCTTTCCTTTCTTTTTCTGGTAATTGTGTTCTTCTATGTCAAAGGAAAAGAATAAACCCGAAAATTATTTGGGAAAGAAAGACACACATGCAAGCTACAGGAAGCTGTGGGTTCAGCCTGCAGGGAGAGACGCCCTGTGGTCCTCGGGAAGTCAGTGGGTTCAAGGCCTGCAGGGAGAGAGACGCCTGTGGTCTTCTGGGAAGTCAGGGTGTCTCGGCCTGCAGGGGAGAGACGCTCTGTGGTCTTCGGGAAGTCAGTGGGATTCAGCCTGCAGGGGAGAGACGCTCTGTGGTCTTCGGTAGGTCAGTGGGGTTCGTCCTGCAGGGGAGAGATGCTCTGTGGTCTTTGGGAAGTCAGTGGGGTTCAGCCTGCAGGGAAGAGAGCTCTGTGGTCTTCAGTAGTCAGCCCTCAGTACAGCAGTTGTGGGAGCCTCTGTGGTTCTGGATCCACATCAACTAGAATTCTATGTTCCAGGGAAAACTGCTTTCAGTGCTGACTTATACTCAACACTGCAAGGCCATCCATGGAGCAGAGTAAACATCCCATCCCATCATGCCCCACGCCCTCCAGAACATCCCATCCCATCATGCCCTGCACCCTCTAGAACATCCCGTCCCATCATGCCCCATGACCACACCCTCCAGAACATCCCGTCCCATCATGCCCCAGGCTCTCTGGAACATCCCGTCCTGTCATGCCCTGCACCCTCCGGAACATCCCGTCCCATCATGCCCTGTGCCCTCTGGAACATCCCGTCCCATCATGCCCCATGCCTTCTGGAACATTCTGTCCCATGCCCCATGCCCTCTGGAGAGTGAGGGTTACAGGGCTGGCATCTGCCTAGCCCGTGGCAGCCTCAGCCCTTAGAGAGCAGCCCTGGTCGCCAGGAACCCACTGGGCAGAAACCCATCCAGTGACCATTGGCAAAGCAGCAGTTCCTCTGCAGGGGCTTTTATGTGTTGGTTTCTTTGGCACCTTCCAATAGAAACAGAATGGGAGCCACAAATGGCGCCACATACGTATAACTTAGTTTTCTAGTAGCCACGTTAAAAACGTTCAAAGGTCATCTTAATTTTAATAATATGTTTTATTTAATCGACTGTATCCAAAATTACTATCATTTTAACAGGTACTCACTATAAAATGATTAATGAGATCTTTTATTCTTTTAGAAGTGTTTCATGAAGTCTCTGCAGCAGCACGTCTCAGGTAGGACCTGCCACGCTCCCCGTGCTCTGCAGCGGCTCACAGCCTGGATGGCATTGCAGTGTAGACACTGAGCTGTGGGCAGGACTCTTCCTGGTCCTCGTGGCTGGGGTACCATGGGCCGGGCTGGTCCTGGCTCTGCACTGTCCCTGTGACCCTCGGGATGTTGCTCAGCGTGTTTTGGCGATGGTTCCTTTCCTGTAAGGTGCGCAGCCGAGCATCTGCTGCTAGGAGGACCACGTGAGTTCATTTCAGTTGGGTGCAGCGCCCGCCTAGTAATCTCAGTGACCCTTGGTCGCTCAGCCAGTGACTGTGCCCACCTGACACCATCAGAAGATAGCGGACTTGGGGGTCAGAAGAGCCCTTCCAGGACTGCAGAAGCTGGTCCTTGGGGGTCTCGCAGCAGATCCCGGGGGCGTTCCCTGTGTGAGTGCAATGCACATGGGGGGCTCAGGACTGGAGGCCCATGCCAGCCCTGGGGTCTCCAGAGCCGGCAGAAGGCACAGCCCTGCATGGTCAAGGGTGCTGGGCTGCGTGGAGAATGTGCGGGTTCTGTTGTTCTGCCAGCTTAAGCGGTTTATCAAACCAGACAAAAAAAGGATATGCAACAGGGACAGCATGTGGCCCAGGAGGCCTCAGATATTGACTCTGGCCCTTCACAGAACACGTGTTCTAGAAAGGAAATCCTAGCTCCGGGGCTGGGGGCTTGCTGGGTGGGGAGAGGGGTTTAGAACGCGGTTTGTCACTTCCTGTGAGGGTGACCCCACAGGACTTTGTGGAGATGGTGGCGTTTAAGTGGTCCAAGAAGAACTGGAAGGATTTAGAGGAGCGGAGGGACCCGACCCGGTGGGCGGAAGTCATGGCTGGGTGTCGCAGGCTCTGCGTGGCTCTGAGGGTGGCTCCAACTCAGGCAGGCGTGCCCCATGTTTAACGGCCATTGAGTCTGCAAGTTATAAACTTGGTTACCCCCAGAACGTTGTTAAACAGTACTCTGTTCTAGAACATGCTGAGATAGCATTTATGCAAGGGATGCCAGGGTGTGGAACGGATCAGTCCGGCGTTCTCCTCAACAGTCCAGGAGGAGGACAGGGAGAAGGCAGCGTCGCTCCTAAGCGGGTGAAGCCAGTTTCATCCTGAGTGATGGTGACAGTAATAACTGGTAAGAAATGAAATCACAGCTTTTCACACGCAGAGTCTGACAAATGGCTAGCCCTTCCTCCATCTCTGGGTGCTCATGCTGGGGAGCGAGGGGCCCTCCCTCCACTCCTGGCTGCACCTGCTGGAGGGCGACAGGCCCTCCTTCCAATCATTGTTGCTTCTGCTGGAGAGCAAGGGCCCTGCCTCCATTCCTTGGTGCAGGTTCTGGAGAGTGACGCCCCCGCCCCCGCACTCCTCTTGCTCCTGCTGGAGAGTGACAGGCCCTCCCTCCAATCCTCGGTGCTTCTGCTTGAGAGCGACGGGCTCTCCCTCCACTCAGTGTGCGTGCTGGAGAGTGACAGGTCCTCCCTCCATCCCTAGGTGCTCATGCTGGAGCGTGAAGGGCCCCCTGTCCCCTCCTCGGTACACATGCTGGGGAGTGGCAGGTGCTCAGCCTTCTTAGGGCGTTTGGGACCCCATCCAGCGTGGTTTTGCTCTAGTTCCCTGCCTGGGGAGAGGAGCTCAGCAAAGCACTGGGTTTATTCTTGCTTATTCATTCAAAAGAAAGCTACTGAGTTTGAAAATGCACCAAGCACTGGAGAGGAAAGGTGAGAGGACCTCGGGGCCGCCTGTAAGAGGCTCAGGATGTGGCTGGGGGTGAGGCCCGGTGGCAACTCCAACGCAGGAGATGAGGGGGTCTGGATCCCACCGTCGGAGCACCCACACAACCTGTCCACACCCTCAGGACGGCAGAAAAGGTCCATTCTTGTATTTCTTTTTAAGTTGAACTAAATCCATCTCTAGTCCCTGCCTCGGAACTGATGGAGTCTGGCTGTTACTGGGCCTCCCCACCTGCAAGGGATGGAACCACAGCTCGGGGCTGAGGCGCTGCTGGAGTGTTTAGTGCCTCTGCTATCAGGACATCCTGTGGCCACTGGCACACTGTCTGCCCACACAGTGCCCCTGACCAGCAGCACAGCCACCCTCTCTCCACAGCCGGGGCTGGGAGCCCTGGGGCCCGACTCCCCGGTCCCACATGCCTCACAAGGCAGGACATTCTGGGTCCTGTCGCATCCTCGGAATCAGGGCCCGGACCCTGGTCAGAGCAGGATCTGCAGACGACCCCGGGTGGGGCAGACTGTCTTCTGTCCTTGGTGGCAAAGCCGGCGTTCTTGGCGTCACGTCTGCACATATGTGTCTGAAGCCACGGGAACGCAGCGGCTATCTCCGGGCCTGCGCCTGTGGAGCAGGATTAGAGAGGACACACGGGTGGGCGTCTCAAGAACTGTTGTGACACAGCTGAACCCCTGCAGCTCTGCTCTGTTGGGCCTTGCCCTCGGTGCTGGGTGCAACGTGTGACAGGATGGCACGGGAAGCTTCCCAAGAACGCTGGAACTGGGCGTTTGAAGACCTCATGGCGGCAGCTCCAGCCCGAGCGCTGCAACTATGGGGCTGTGCCAGGAGCAGGCGCCACGGAGCCTGTGTGGGTCCAGGGCGAGAGGTAAGGGGAGTATGGACGGGGCTGTGCATTCCTGGGGTTGAAGGCAGGCTTCAGGGGGTGACAGTGAATAGGGACTGGGAAGGTGCATGCCAGGAGGGGTCCAGGCAGAGACAACAGGTGGGGGCACGATCCTCAAGGGGAGGCAGAAGAGGCTGGCAGTGTAAGGCAGGACAGCGATGCCCACGGACTCCAATGCCTGCTGCGCAATCGGAATTTTGTCTGTGGCCTCAGGCGTCTGACATGCATCCTCACACCTGCATGAGCACCAGGAGCCCCTGGAGGGCTGTGCAGACGACACTGTTGGCCGGCCCGGCCCCAGCAGTTCTGACTCCTCTGTGATCAGAGGGTGGGGTTAAGGATGTGCATTTCTGACAGGTTCCCAGGAGACCCTGGCACTGCTGCTTTGGAGACCCCACTTTGAGGACCACTGATCTAACACTGCCCTCGTGGCAAACGCGGAATGACTCCAAGATTCAGCTGGATGGATCATTCAGGGAGGAAATTCACCTTTGCCACCGGGCACACCTTGGCCGTTCAGTAACCATGGCCATCAGGGTTACTGACTTTTTCATTCTCCACTGCATTCCAGAGTGGGCATTTCCACAGTAGTGAGCCCATCATCAACTCAGCGACGTTCCCATTTTCCAGTTAGAAAATAAGCTTTCTGATGGTTAACTATCCACTCTACTTGGCTCTAGAAAAGATTTCAGGGATGTGTGATTTATGTTTAACATAAAGAAAAGCTGAGTGTAAACTAGGTAAGTTACAATTGTCCCAGACATTATAGACACTCAGAGCATCGTTTTCCTCCTCTAGCAAAACAAAACAAAAAATTCTGCAATCATATAGGCAGTAGGAAAAAAAAATGAGCAGGACACCATGGCTCACACCTGTAACCCCAGCACTTTGGGAGGCCGAGGTGGGAGGATCACTTCAGGCCAGGAGTTAGAGACTGGCCTGGCAACATGATGAGATCCCCATCTTTATAAAATTAAAACAATCTGGGCATGGCGGAGCACACTTGTGGTCCTAGCTATTCAGGAGGCTGGGGGTGGTGGGGGAATCGTTTGATCGCAGGAGGTTGAGGCTGCAGTGAACCACGTTTGCACCACTGCACTTCAGCCTGGATGACAGAGTAAGACCCTGTCTCAAAAAAAAAAAAAAAAAAAAAAAAAAAAATCAGGCAAGAACTGAGGCAGTGATGCTGTCACCGGGCCTGGCCTCATGCCAGCAGCAATGGCTGGGAGTGCGGTTCAGAAGGGAGGGTGGGTTTAGGCTTACCAGCTTACCAGGGAACCTTGATCTCTGTTTCTAATTTGCTGGGCTCATATCTAGTTGGAGCCTGGGCACTGTTGTCTGCTTTTATGCACAACTGGCTGGGGACAGCTCTGAGCCACAGGCCTAGAAAGGACAGGCTCCATAATCCACTGGCAAACCCCGCAAGATGCCTGCAGTGAGGTGCCAGGTTTGAGCGGAGGAAGAGCCGTGCATCACATCCCTGAAGTCAGATTTGAAGGAAGACCCTCAAGGTGAGCGGCTTCTAATTACATCTTCAGCTTTCTGGGCTTAACAATAGTTTTATTTTTCTTGTTGAGGAGAAAGATTTTGAAACCGCCTTGGTGTCCAGCTGTCCTTTTGGCTGTCTCACCTCTTTTTTCTTTTAATGCCTAAGACTGTCTGGTAGATGCTGTGTTTCTACGTTTCTACTCCATTACAAAAATTAACAGAAATATGGCTTCGCTTTGTATAGATGTTTATATCACAGTCTTTAAAATGAATTATAATTAAAACTATCCACAAAGCTAGATGTTTAGAGAACCCTTGTCAGAGTTCTTTCATAATGTGAAGAAATTTTCAGGTACTTTGTTCTTCAAAAGCAGGAATAACTGTGAACGTGAAGGCAAAAGGCCTTTCAGGCCCGTAAGAACATGTGAAAACCACGTGTCTGGCTTCAAAACTGCCCCAGCCCCTGCCCGCCTGCATTTTACGTGCTCTTCCTTTGCTTGATTATGCGTTGTGGTTCCTGTTCCACTCAGCTCACGCTCCACCTGGACGTATAAACTCTGGGAGAAATGGCGATGGCCTCTCCTCCACCACCAGGCTGGCAGGGGTGTCTGGCTGGAATCAGGCCGGAGGAGACTCGGATGGGTAAGACCGATGCACTTAGTTCTGGGGGTGTGGGGAGGGCGAGAGGAGCATGAGCGGCAATCTGGGGGGTGTCTTCCCTGTTGCAAATCCCCCTGCACGTGTAGGTGCATGGCGAGAGGGTCTCTACCTCCCAGCTTTTCTCTGAGGATGTCCAGAAGGAATGAGCAAAGCAGGATGGCCTCCAGAACAAAGGCCCTGAGGCTGACTCCAGATTTCCTGTGTCTACGAGCTGTGTTCATGCCCCTTGCGTTCATGAACAGGGGCCGAGCTGCAGGGACTGTGTGGCAGTCTAGGGCTGGGCCATGGCTTGGAACCAGGAAGACACGCAACCAGACACCAGTGAAGCAGCAGTTTTATTGAGTCCGTGTCACATTAATACATTAGCTTCATGGACACAGTTTCAAAGACCCGGGTCATTCTGACATAGTATGCTGGAGGCAGCTAGGCCAGCTTGAGGCACTGCGTGTTAAAGCTGTCCCCCTCCTTGCCGGCGACAGCCTCTAGCAGGGCCTGTTTCTTCTGCATGCTCCGCGAGGACTCCAGCTCGTACATGGTGGTCAGGTTGAAGAGCACGCTCTCGTGCAGGTAGTGCCTGGGGTCCTGCTGGACCATGGCCTCCAGCTGCCGCAGGGAGTCCTTGAGCTTGCCCAGGTAGAGCAGACACACGGCAGCGTTGTTGTTGGCCTAGGGAGGAGCACACGCACAGGGTCGGCCCATGCAACCAGGACAGACGCCCGCCCGCGCCAGGCTGCGTGCTGGGCCCTGTGTTGGGGGTCTGGGGGGTGACGCAGAGCTGCCAGGCAAAGCCTAGATGGCCCCGTTGGGTCACTTCCCCCAAGGGCCACGGCCGCTGCCTGGCGCCAGTGGACTGGAGAGAGAGAGTGCAGGCCCCCGCTGAGATGCGTGTGGGTGCACGTTTCTAGTGCAGAGGGCGGAGGATCCTGCGGCTGGGGGATCTTACCACTGCATTTGTTGGATCCATCCTTAAGATCTCTGTGAAGAACCTGTGGGCTTCTGCAAAGTTGTTCTGCCCGAGGTGAAGGAACGCTCTGTAACACAAGCAACGGTGGCAGGCAGTGGGGAAACCCCAGGCGCTGCTGTCCCCCAACAAAACCCACAGGGGCGGCCGGGCGCGGTGGCTCAAGCCTGTAATCCCAGCACTTTGGGAGGCCGAGACGGGCGGATCACGAGGTCAGGAGATCGAGACCATCCTGGCTAACACGGTGAAACCCCGTCTCTACTAAAAATACAAAAAACTAGCCGGGCGAGGTGGCGGGCGCCTGTAGTCCCAGCTACTCCGGAGGCTGAGGCAGGAGAATGGCGTAAACCCGGGAGGCGGAGCTTGCAGTGAGCTGAGATCCGGCCACTGCACTCCAGCCCGGGCTACAGAGCAAGACTCCGTCTCAAAAAAAAAAAAAAAACAAAAAAAAAACCCACAGGGGCTTTGGACACCACACAGACCCAGTGTGTGACCCTGCGTGGCCTGGAGTTCCCGATCTCCAGGCACAGGCAGTGAGCTGCATTTTGCATTCAGGCTCACAAATTAAAGCCACTCTAGTTTTACTTTTTTTATTTTTTAGATGGAGTTTCGCTCTTGTTGCCTAGGCTGGAGTGCAGTGGCGCGATCTCGGGTCATTACAACCTCCGCTTCCCAGGTTAAAGTGAGTCTCCTGCCTCAGTCTCCCAAGTAGCTGGGATTACAGGCGCCCACCACCATGCCTAGCTAATTTTTTTGTATTTTTAGTAGAGACAGGGTTTCACCATGTTGGCCAGGCTGGTCTTGAACTCCTGACCTCAAGTGATCCACCCGCCTCGGCCTCCCAAAGTGCTGGGATTACAGGCGTGAGCCACTGCACCCGGCCAAGCCACTCTGGGTTTTATTAGTTGAGAATAGAGTAACTTCACCTAAATGACTTCCTGCTAAAAACGGACACCTGCTTCATTTATGCTTTCTGATCCTGGGTGCAGGCTTTGAGGCACGTTTCCTCCTCACAAATGTGCACTCACACAATGCCGTGCGTTCCACCACAGAACACCAGAGCACAGGATCCAGAACGGCTGCTGTGCCAGCAATGGTGACCTTTACACACACTATGCTGAAAACGGGGGCAATACAAGCGCTACTCTGAAGAACAAGGGGGAAACGTCTCCTTAAAAATCAGCTTCTGTGACTAAAAGAACATCACTGCAATTCCAGAAAACACCCGTGTACTTCTTGGGTCTCAGTTCTGAGAGAGACAGGGCAAGAGGCGGCACAGAAAGAAGCGCTTTCTCCAGGGAGCTTTCCCACTCAGTAAGTGGGGCTTAAACGCCTCTGGGAATTTTGAGAAAATATGTATTTAGTTTTAAAATATTTACCTGTTCATTAAGACCATGATTTTACCCTGTAGTCCATCTAATTTCTGTGTTACTTTCTCAACATCTTGAAAATACTTTTCAGCTGTTTTTATGTCTCCAATCTGCTTTGACAAAATGTAGTCAGTTTAGTTGACAAAAGAAATATTAAGTCGATACTCGTACATTTAGTTCCCTAATACATGTTACAATATGAAGACAGTTACATGTCAGGCAGAGGAAAACTTCAGTAAACATTTAGTAATCATTTTTTTATAAAAAGGCAAAAGACATTTAAGATACAGTGGAATGTTAATGTTCTGTATGTCAGAAACTACGTTGCTAATATACATGCCTTATTTAAAAGTCTTATTAGTTTAGTAATTTGTACCTTTTGGAATGCTAGCAGAGCATCACGTAAAATAAAATGAACAACTAGTAAGATGAAACATAAAATACTTAAAATATTGGTATAATATGAGCAGGTCCCAAGCCAACTTATGAGTTACTTGTGGCTAGTAAAATGGTAGGTGCCACCACATTTGCAAATTTCAAAGTAATATTTTGACCAATAATATAGAATTCTGCTGTAAAAAACAAGCCAAACTAAACCCAAACTCAAACCTACTCTTGTCGCACATGTCAGGAAACCCGCCGCCTGCCCGAATCATATGCAGCCGACGCAGCAGGCTGGCGGTTGAGGAGGCCCGGGGGGTGGAAGGCTGAGCCCCAGCCCTGACTCCTGAGGCCACAGCCTGGCTTTACAAAGGCAGACGCGGGTTTTCCTTCACCTCCAGAAGCATCAGGAAGGGAATACATGATCTGAGGCTTACAATAAGAAATAGATAAAAATTAAAGAAAAGTCCTATTATGGCCCAAGCCACGCTCACGAGGGAAAAGACAGAGTTGCCTTGTGTCCGGGGCGCAGCCTGCAGGAGTCGGGCTCTGCGACAGCGAGCTCTGCTCATGGCAGCAGCAGAAACTTCACAGAATGCTGTCCTGTCCCGAGGAGAAACAAGCTGAATGTGCGCGGCGCACCTCCGTGAGGAGGGCTGGAGGACCCAGCGCTATCATCGCTGAGCAGCCTAGTTAACTCTTAGACTTCCCACGCCAGCATCCGTCCAGCACGAAAACAAGCCTGCTAACTTCCCAAATGACTGGTGGGGAGGTGGTTCTCCATGGCTGTCATGTGTCTGCATGTCTTCCAAGCACAGACACCGACAGGGCTTTGTTCAAAGCATTTACACAAGGACGCTGTTTACAGGACAGCCTTGTAAACTAAACCGCGGCCCTCTGCGGCGAAGGGCAGGCAGGCTCACCTCCCAGGAGCAAGGATCTGGGTGTTCTAAGTTCAGGATTCCTCTGCAGCCACACAGCCCACTGCAGGCATCACGAGGCCCTGGGTGAAGACCCTGAGGAATCAGGGCCCCGTGTCTGGCCGAAAGAATGCAACCCTGGCTGTGCTGCTGTTGCTGTGTAATAAATGTCCTTCGTCTCTAACCTAAGACTCTTACACTTTTTCACCAGCATCCGTGAAAATGGCAGCCAACTCTACAGCTTGCACATCGGATAACATCTCAAGGCCTTCACAACTGTTGCTGTTACCCCACAAAAGAAACACCACACGAGGAGGAAGAAAAACAGAATGAAACACAAAGAAAACAGGCGTGCACACACACCACACATGGAACGGCGTTTGTCCATCGCTGCCCTTCGTCTGCACAGTCCGAAGCGGTTTGAAGCCCACTACTATGGACTTCCCACTTGCTGACTAAAAAGAAACCAAAGGCAGCATGGGCTCCATGATATGGCCCTCGGCTCGAATGCCTGCGTTTCCTGCATTAAGTAATGTCCTGTTTAACAGGACCGCTGTGATACTGATCTGAAGATGATTATAGCTCATAATCCAGACTGACCGAGATGAACGTGCGCTGCGGCAAGTGCTTCAAACACAGCTGCCTGAACCTCGCCACAGCCTGTGATGCAGACGCTGTCACTAGCTTCGCTTCTAGATGAAAAAGTAAGGCTTGGAAAGACGAGACAATTTTCTGAGGTCACACAGCTACCACAGAACAGTGTGGGGTCAACACCCAGGCCTGCCCAAAGCCCAGACCATGTGCTGATCTCCGCACCGCAAGGCCTCCTGAGGCTAGCATGGGACTTTACTGAAACAATGTCTTAGAGGAAGATAACAGAGAAATCTTGGGAAATTCTTTGCTACCCACTGATCTTCCTGATGATTAGAAAGTAAGTTGACATTTTCAGAATTATTAACATGGTATTAGGATATAAAATTCTACCGATTTCTAAAAGTTAGGAGCAACTGAAAAAATTAAACATAAAAAGGCAATTAAAAGTATTCCAGAATATGTAGAAAACAAATCAGTAAAGGACACTATTAAAAAGAAAATACCGTGGCTGGGCATGATGGCTTACACCTGTAATCCCAGTCCTTTGGGAGGCCAAGGTGGGAGGATCGCTTAATTTCAGGAGTTCAAGACCAGACTGGGCAACAAAGTGAGACCTTATCTCTATTTAAAAAAAAAATGAGCCAGGTGTGGCCATAAGCACCTGTGGTCCCCAACTACATGAGAGGCTAAGACAGGTGGCTCTCTCGAGCCCAGGAGTTCCACAGTGACTCCTAATGGTGCCACTGCACTCCAGCCTGGCAGACAGAGCAAGACCCTGTCTCACAAACAAAAAACAAAAAATAGTAAGTATATAAACTAATCCAGAAAAAGAAAAGCATAAACAGAAATGTAAAAGTAGAAAAAGCTACAGGCAGAGAAAGGAAACTGAAGTGGTAAGAGCACTGTCTTTTACTCCGTGCAAAGCCATGAGAAACAGGGACAAAGCAGGTGGCTTTCTAGAAAACTCTAAATTAAAAAACCTGTTCCCAGAAACACAGAAAAATCCTCAGGCACACACCACTAAGGCAGACTAATAATAAATTATGAAAAGCACACAGCACACCTCATGTGCTCAGCAAAGGCAATTCTTAGGTGAATACTCAAACCTTCACGGAACAGATCATTCCATATTACTCAAAAGTTTTCCAGAGAGGGAGAAAGACAGCTTCTAACCTCTATGCCGCCATATCCTTTTGCGATGTCACCTGTGCACACACAAACCAGACACCAACATCAATCACAAATGCAAAAACCCGGGGAAATGCCACCCCTGGAGCTCCAACCTATTGGTTCTGAGTTTAGGAGCAACACATCGTTAGTGTTCCTGTGGCAGAAACTAGAACTGTGCACTGGGTCCGGCTCCCCCTCCCTGGGCGCTGTGATGGTTAATACTGAGTGTCAACTTGAATGGATTGAAGGATGCAAAGTGTTGTTCCTGGGTGTGTCTGTGAGGGTGTTGCCAAAGGAGGTGAACATCTGAGTCACTGGACTGGGAGAGGCAGACCCACCCTCAGTTTGGGTGGGCACCATCTCATCGGCTGCCAGCGCAGCGCAGCCAGAATAAAGCAGGCAGAAGTCGGAAAGAGCAGACTTGCCGAGTCTTCCAGCCTCATCTTCCTCCTGTGCTGGAGGCTTCCTGCTCTCGAACATCAGACTTGAAATTCTTCAGCTTTTGGACTCTTGGACTTACACCAGTGATTTGCCAGGCGGTCTCAGGCCTTTAGCCACAGACTGAAGGCTGCGCTGTTGGCTTCCCTACTTTTGAGGTTTTCGGACTCGGGCTGGCTTCCTTGCCCGTCAGCTTGCAGACAAGCTATTGTGGGACCTCACCTTGTGATTGGGAGGCAATTCTCCTAATAAACTCCCCTTCATAGATTCATCTATCCTATGAGTCCTGTCCTTCTAGAGAGCCCCGACTCACACAGGCACTGAGGGCTGGGGGTGCCGTGGATCTGCATCTGGCCTTGGGTGGGGCCCTCCCCTCCAGCAGCAACCTGGAGGGCACAGGTTCCAGACGATGGGGCCACAGGAGAGGGCAACCTGGGCCCCAGAACTACTGCATGGAGGGAGTGCCCTGCAGAGCTGCTGGACCCTTGGGACTCTGCCAGGGCAGGAGAGGCCACTGTCTCCCAACCCAGTGGATCCCATCTCGACCACTCTGTTCTCCACCTGGCAGCCCTCTGGATGGTGAAGAGAGCTCCCATTCTCAGCTCTTTCACCTGCTTCTCTGTCGCAGGTTTGGGATTCCTCACCACCTTGGTGGCACAGAAGCCGTTACAGACGGGCAATGGCCATTTTAAAGCTTTCTCAAGGCGGAGTGTCCCACAGTCCGTGGCTGTGAGCTGTTGAGTGGAGAGGAAGGCAGGAACGATTTTCTCTGTGGTGTGGGCATCAGATGATTTTAAACCATCCAAAAACAGCACGGCTATGTTAACAGCCACACAGGTTGCTAGATGACATTAAATCCGTAGTCAGCCAGAAACGCCAGTTCTTTTCATATTTACCACTGATCAACTTCAGTCACGGAAACACAGGTCTGAAATTGATACAGAAAACTCATTTCAGCTGGGCCCAGTGGCTCATGCCTATAATCCCAGCAATTTGGGAGGCAGAGGCAGGAGGACTGCTTGAGGCCAGGAGTTTGAGACCAGCCTGGGCAACATGGCAAGACCCCATCTCTACAAACAACTTAGCTGGGTGTGGTGGTGCATTCCTGTAGTCCCAGCTACTCGGGAGGCTGAGGTGGGAGGACTGCTTGAGCCCAGGAGGTCAAGGCTGCAGTGAGCTGCATTTGCGCCTCTGCACTCTAGTGTGGGTGACACAGTGAGACCCTGTCTCAAAAACAAACAAACAAACAAAACCACCAAAAAATCCTACCCAAAACCAACACAGAAAACTTGTTTAGTCTAAATTTTTATGTTATAAAACATTCTTATATTTTAAAGCCTATCAGAAAAACTGTTGCATTCCAACTGGGCAAATCCCCTCAGGCTAATGTACATACACCAATAAAAGATGTGATCTGTTTCAGAATACCCTAGCTTCTCTTCCATGTTTTTCTTCAGTTCTCCTTCACCAGCTCCTCTTCCCCACCCGCCGTCGTGAGCACAGCAGAGCCGGCCCCAGGGGTCCTCTCCTTTCCTCTGACCCCCCCTCACCTGCTCTCTCTGCAGAAGCTCAGGGCCTGCTGGGAACCAGGCAGGCTGTCAATGCATAAATTAGGCTGCATCCGCGCAGAAGCCTCCTCTACTAGACAAGCTCGACCTTGGCTTCCTTCTCTGTCCTTGTAGAATCCAGTGTGAGAAGAATCCTGCTAAGTCAGTTTAAGAAAAATCCCTGCCCTTGGTGCCTTAACACCTGGAGATCCTACCACTCTGGCCAGCTGTCAGCGACGATCCTATCAAGTCTGCTTGGCCAGAAACCCCTTCTTGATGCTTCCTCTGGGTAATTTTCCACCCACTGACCCTGACCCTGACGCTGGTCCCTGGTTGTCAGTTCCCGCCTGTCCTCCGTGAAGTCGGAGCTGAGTCCAGTCTCTTCGCCGTCTGCATGCTAGTGCCATGCGTTGTGTTTTCTTTAGCAGCTGTCAGAGCTCTTTATAGATTCTGGATGTCAGTCTCTTGTCAGATACAGGATTTGCAAATAATTTCTCCCATTCTGTAGGTGGTCTTTTTACTTTTTCTTTATGGTATCCTTTAAAGCACAACAGTTTTTAGTTTTGGTGAAACCTCCTTTACCTGCATTTCCTTTTTCCTTGCACTTTGGTGTCACATCAGGATGATGAGGCCTGACAGGGTGGCAGGGGCTGGGGGACGCTCTCCCCACTCTTTCCCTGACCGGAGCCAGCACACTCCCCGGCTCAGGGTGGCAGCCAGAGGTGAGTCTCTTCTTTCTCTATTTGAATGTCTCTGTTGAGCTATGGCTGATGCACAGGAAGCTGCATGTCTTCAGACTGTACAACCTGAGGGATTCTGGTACGTGGCTGTGTGTGTAAAACGACCCTCCTGGTTGAGACGGTCAAGGTGCCCGCATCCCTCCTGGAGCCTGGGGTCATGCCCCTCTGTAAAACATGCTCAAGTCTTTCCCAGCTTCACAGTGCTTCCCTGACCCTTCCTTCCCTTCTTCCACCTCAGCGTCTCCCCACCCTGCCCTGGGTCCCTGCCCTCTGGGAACTCGGTCAGAGGTGACCTTGGTTCTTGCTGAGGTCCTCTCAGCCATAACATTGACTGGTCCTGCATCCCATCCCCCTTCGTCCTGCCTGGGGCGGCTGGTTTATCCCAGACTTCCCACCACTCCTGCAGCGGTGGAGGCTTTCTCCTGCCTGATCACTGTGGGCTCTGACCTTTGGTCCAGAACACCGAGGCCTGGGACTGGCCACAGACACTGCAGAACCACCCTGCACTCAGCTGCCCCAACGCCAAGCACAGGCCCCTCATCTGTGCTCGGCTGCTGGACTTGCACCTGCGCACCACAGCTCCCTTCCCAGTCCCAGTGAGGAGCCTCTGAGTCCCAAGTCCCAGTGAGGACCCTCTAAGGCCCAAGTCAAGAGAGTCTGAGGAGGTGGAATCTAAGTTGCAGTGAAGTAATTTTAAGAAGTATGAATATAACGCTTCGTCTGTTTGAAGATCGATTGCTTCTGCCCTTCCTTAATTTCGATTATGTGAGGAACTCCTGTGGCACACAAATGTCTCCATCTCGCTTACAACACAGATTTCTTTCCGAAGTGGAAATTCCCACGGGCCCCACTCTCTCTCCTCCTAACCCCCAGCCCCCTTTTCGTGTGGAGGTCCCAGTGCTCTACGGGAGGCTCTGTGTGATGAAGGTGAAGGGACGGTGGAAACGCTCAGAGCAGGCATGTGAGTCTTAAACACGGCTGTCACCTGGCTGGAGGCTGCGCTGACAGCTGGCAGGGGACGTGGCTATGACAGTCCCGCCTGCAGGATGAGGCCTAGGTGAGAGATGGATCCTCCCCTATATGCAGGCATTAAATCCCAAGTACGACTCTGTCACTGGAGCCAGGGTTTCTAGCTGTAATGTGAACAGCACACAAACTGAATAGATGACCCTTTGCTCAGTGCCCGGAATTATGCTCTGAACTTCTTGGAAAGAGCAAGGATTGCTATTCAAAAGTAGAATATGTTTTGAAATATTAAAATAGAAAGTCTGCTCCTTGGAGCCCTAACACAAAGTGAGGGCATCTGGGCCATCCTTGTATTCGCCAGTGTATCTTCTCGTGTGAAATGGCAGCTGCTGGTGTGGTGAGTGAGTTTCCTATTTCTAGCTCGCATATTTTAGAGGCACCTACATTCAACACAAAATTTTAAACACAAAGAGGAGGTGCAGTGTCAGTGGTCTCAGCCCAACTGTGTGGAATCATCTAGAACCTTGCTGTCCGTACACCCCTTTCACCTCTGTCCGGCTGGGTCATCTCTGGAGTTAGCATGCTTCCTTTACAGCACGTTTTCCCAAAGGTGTCTGCATATTTTGTTTTAGTAAAATCATTTTTTTCTATTTCCACTCTTTAGAATGAAAATGGAAAATATTTCCTTTTCAATTAGTGTTTGCTTTTCAGTGCTCGTTTAAATTTTCCCAAACTCAGAAAAGTGGCTGTTTCTCAGACTCTGCTATACACACTCACGCACACACAGCACAGAAAGCTGAGGGCGGAGGTGTTCAGCCCATTCTTTTGCCAAGTATTAGATGACCTAAACATTCAGAAACGTTTGAGGTTGCTCTGTTACTGATTTGGCGACGGCACCGGTGGAGGCAGGACTGGTCTGCTTTCCATGGGAAGATTCACACTGCAGTGCACACTGCCAGCTGAGAGGGTGATCAGGACACACTGCAGACAGCCCAGCAGGAACAGCGGGGACAGCACGCAGAGCAGGCCATCATCTGCCAGGGTTGCCAACCACACAAAGCAGCGCCCTGGGACGCTGCCCTGGAAGAATGGCCTTTCAGCTCGGGTCCCTGGGGAGGGGCACGTCAGCTTCTTGTGGAACAGGTCGTTCTTAGGAGCTTGACATCTGCCTTCCCCACGGAGCGGCTCTGCCTGTGCTCCCTCCTTGCTAGGGCTGATCTGGAAAACCACAGTTCTCGGAGCAGTGCCAGGGCATGAGCAGAATGGGCCCAGGTACGTGGGTCCCTCTGCCTTCATGCTTTGCCAAGCGTTTCCCTACCTGCTGGGGACATTTCCTAGCTTTCTCCCCGGGACCCAGCATCAATGCGATGCATACCTCATCTCCAACCTTCAGTGCTGATGAAACACAAATCCTCCTTGGTCTGGAGATCGCATTCAAGATTGCAGAAAATACCGAGCCTCCCTTGTATTTCCAAGCACATAGAGTAGAAACTTTCATCTCAGGGAAACGAAATCAGTCTTATTCCACGCGTGATTAGCTTTGTGTTCTATGACTTCAGATGTTACAACATGATTCGTAAGGAACGCTCATGATTGCTGCTGGCTGCCTTCCCCGATTCTGCCCATTTCCCACCTGTTAGGGGTCCTTTCAAGGAGGACCCAGGAGGCCTGCATTCCTACTCCTGCAGGAGGGGCGCCCCCGCGGCCTGGGCCCCCAGAGAGACGCATGCACGTAAGATGACGGTGCCTGAGGAAGTGGAAGGAGGCCGTGTGGGGGACCTGGGGACCTGGGTCTTCAGGGTGGGGACAAGACTCTGAGAGGCCAGGCAGAGCTGGCAGTGCTGTTCTTGCTGGAGGGGCCTCTGCGACGTGCTAGGGCATCCTGGCTTCATGGCCCTAGAATGGCCTGTCTCTGGGCCCTCATGAAGATTCCTTGTATAACTGTCCGTGAATAAACTTTCTGCTTATACCAGCCACTGTGGATTCCACGGACTGCAACCAAAATCTCGTCCTGTACTTTCTAAGCACCTTCAGTATTATTTTATCACTTGAGGGACGGTTACTAATACACGCATTTCTTATGAAATGTACCCCTCTGATATCCTGACAGCACAGCACACAGGTGCTGAGAGTGCATGTGATACTTCTTTGCTTCTGTACAGTGGCACCAACTCATTTCAGAATGGCTCGCACACAGCCCCAGTTTAGAGACCGTCTAATTAAGATACAGGTAGTGATGAGGTGCTTCAGGGAGAACAGCACTGCGGGAGCTGGAAAACACACGTGCTTTCTTGAAAGTGATTCTCTGAGGGCTGTTCCTCCAAGAATCGAACCACGGCTGAACACCCTTGAGTGTAAAGTGCTCACTCAGTGCGTGTCCCTTCGGAACAGAGCCTGCACTGGCTTTGCGCGTCCCTTCGGAACCTCGAACAGAGCCTGCACTGGCTTTAAGGCCTTCTCGGAACAGAGCCTCCACTGGCTTTGCGCGTCCTCTCGGAACAGAGCCTCCACTGGCTTTTCTGGCGCTGGGCTCTTCTCGAACAGAGCCCACTGGCTTCTGTTACCCCTCTCGAACAGAGCCCACTGGCTTTATGCTGGCCTTTCAGGAACAGAGCTCTCTGGCTTTAAGTAGTCCCTTCGGAACAGAGCCCCGGTTTTCTAAGTAGTCTCCTTTCGAACAGAGCTTTCCACTGGCTTTGCGCTGGCCCCTTCGGAACACAGCTCACTGGCTTTGCGAGTCCCTTCGAACACAGCCCCACTGCTTTGCGAAACTTTCGAACACAGCCTCCACTGGCTTTGCGCTGTCTCCTTTCGAACAGAGCCTCCACTGGCTTTGCGCTGGGCTCTTTCAGCCTGAGCCCACTGGCTTTGCGCGCCCTTCGAACAGAGCCTTCCACTGGCTTTGCGCGTCCCTTCGGAACAGAGCCTCCACTGGCTTTTACGTGGTCACTCAATTCGAGTTCTTACTCCTTAAAACAGAGTGGAGTCAACTCTATCTACATTTAGTTCAGGCGTTTCTGCTGGACTCGAGTCCCAGTTCAACCCCATCCTGTCCTGCACTGCTGACCTCACATCGCTGTGATCTGCCCCCATGTGGCATCTTCCATCCTGTGCTGAGACGCAGCGTTGGGGGTGAGTAGGGTGCACCGGCAGGAGCTCTGAGGCTGGCGCGTGGGGTCTGAGTGTCTGGATGCGTGCGTGGGGACACTGCTTTTGCCCCTTCCTACTGCCCAGCCTGGAGGGCCTCATGCCCATGTGTGCCCTGGAGTCACTCTACAGGGTGGATGCCCTGCTGTGGGAGTGGGGTTTCCAAGGGCAATTCTGAGCACATGCACTTTTGCTGTGACCTGGGAATGCCGCCCTTACATTTAGATCTGTGAGGAAACGGAACAAACACACCCATCCTCAAGATATACGAAAGACAGCAAGTCACACTTACAGTGGTCCTGGTACGTCCCAGGCAGGACACAGAGGATTTCACATGGATAAACTTCCTCCTCTACACACGACGATGACGACTGTTTACCGCAGGCGGTTGTGGGGGGGACCGACACCATGAAGGTGAAACCACCTGCTCAGAGCCACGTCACAGCCACGTCAGAGCTACGCCAGCCTGAGCCGCCGAGCCGGGGTCGGGTCCGTCTACGCCAGCCTGAGCCGCCGAGCCGGGGTCAGGTCCGTCTATGCCAGCCTGAGCCGCTGAGCCGGGGTCGGGTCCGTCTACGCCAGCCTGAGCCGCCGAGCTGTGGTCGGGTCTGTCTTGTTCCAAACCCCAGCCCCTGAGCCCTGTGCTTTTATCCCTGTAGATGCCTTGGGGAAGAGGGAAGGGAGAGTTTGCTGAGAGAGCTGGGGTGACTTTAGAGAAGTCCTTCCAGTGAACTCTCAAGAATGAACAGGGTTTGCACAGACAGAAAGTAAAGGGAGTTCTGAGCAGCAGGAACAGCCCACGAGAGGTAAAAGCAGCAAGGGTGGCGCCGTCTGGGCAGCAGCAAATCAACCATCTGGTGGGACTGAGGACACGAGGTGAAGAACACTGGGCTAGAAAACATTAGCTAGGGCTCTGAATGGGACCTTTAAGTGTGGGCTCAGCTGACAGGCCACAGGGCCCCAGCAGGAGCTCTGACCAGAGGCGGCAGGGTGGAGTGTACTCCAGGAAGGCTAATGGCAGCTGCACACAGGACGGGGGACGAGGGACGTGCTGAGATCTCTGGCAGCTCAGCACCACGTGTACACACAGGGTCCCGCCTCTGCAACCCTCTGGACCCTCTGTAACCCTCTGCTGAACCCAGCGGAGATGAGGAGGCACAAGCCCCAGCACAGGAGAGGGCTTGTGCACCCAGGCGGTGCACCCAGGAGGGCTTCAGCACCCAGGAGGGTTTCAGAATGGGTGGGGGTCTGCTGTGTGCTTGGGCACCCACTGGGCTGACATGTGGTCGTTCTTGCTGATCGCAATGGCGCTCTCAGGCCTCGACGCCCACAAATGGCTGTGTTCTTCTAGGGCAAAAGCTGCCTGCTTCACCCTCCTTCCGAGATCAGCATCTTCAGACCACACACTGACCTGCCGAAGCAGGAACTTCCAGGGGCTGGGTTTTCTGTGTGCGCAGATGGCAGTGCAGCCGTCCGTTGCGCGAGGCTGTCTGAGAAGTTCTGTAGCAGCCATGGCACAACGTCTTCAGAGATACCCCAAATGGCTAAGTACTGCGATCTCCATTTCCTTTAGAGAAACAGAATTCAGAGACTTTGCTCTTCAGCAACAACACAAATACCCGTGAGGGAGGTCTGATAAATAATTTGCAAGAGGTGCAGATGGAACAGTGCTTATGTGGGGCGTCGGTGAGTCCAGTCAGCCCGGGTGCTTCCGTCGTTTTCTCCATTCTCCTTTGGCAAAATCTCTTGCCCAGACACAGAGCCGCTGTCACCTCCCTGGGTCCTCAGGACAGCGAACACCAAGGGCTTCCCTCATAGCCCGTTTAGCACATTCCGTGTGCGAGACGGGGCTTACATCACGCTGTGGAAGCTGAGCCTCCCTCCTGAGACTCCAGTCTCACTGCCAGAGCCCTCACTGTGGTCAAGCCAGTGGCTCCCACTGGAAGGAGAAGCACTTCCAGATGCAAAAGCAGCTCAGCATCTACTTCTCAAATTGTGCATACTATGCCTCTGAAATAAAATTTCCGAGATTGTCTCCAGCGTAGTGAGGAATCTGAGCAGGCCCAGGGTACTATTTTACTATGATAACCGGGGGATAATGATACACGTCAGGCACCCTGGAGATCCCGGTCACATGGAGCTTTCTCACACAGGCGACGAGGGTTGCTGCAAGCATCCCAGCGCAGGCAGGAGCCGATGCCCATGGTGGCAGCTCACGCGTCACGCATCTGTGCCTGCTCTGGATTATTCAGTGACAGTCATCTGCTGTGCCCCACCACAGGGGCCCATGGACAGGGCTGTCCTCCAACACTATCTGGTGTCCCGTGTGGATTTCCACAAGCAGGCAGCGTGCAGGAGATGTGTGCACATGTTCCTACATGTGTTAGTGCGTGTGTGAGCAACCGTGTTGGGGAGGAGAGGACCAGCTGTTAGCTGAGAGAGTGCAGGCCCTGAGTACAGAGGCCCTGTTCAAATTCTAGCTCCCCCGTTACCTATGTGGCCTCCTGTTGCTGGATTTCACTTTATCAGGAGACCTCAGTTTGCTGATCTGTAAAACAAGCTAGTCACACCGTGAGGTGAAATGCTCAGCACAGAGCCTGGCTCACGGTGAGTGGGTGCCTGTGGAAGGTCTGTGCTGCTTCTCCCCACTTAGCGGTCCCTTGCTTGTGACTCCTTTCCCTGGCCCAGGTTTGGGACGTGACCTCAGAAGACTGAGGGTGGAAGGGGCAGAAGCTGCCTTGTGCTCAGCCTGCAACGGTGAAGGATTGACAGGGATGTGGGCGGCACTCATCTCTCCCCGTGACCTCCCTGTCACCAAAGATCCCAGGAAAACGCATTTCAGCTTCAAGGACATTCTTAGCAAAGGGGGTCCTGTCCCAGCTTTGTGCATTATTGAGACCACTGTTCAGTCTGGACTTTGTCCAGCAAACATGATTCAAGGGTTCTTCAGGCAAAATATCAGCAAGTGACTATTATGGGCTAAGCTGAACTAAGATTCCTCACGGTTCAGTCAGCGCTTTTGTAACTGCAGCAGGACAGTGTCTAGAGTAACTTGTTTCAGTGCGGCTGTGATGACACTTTCTGTGGGTTCACCTTTAGCAACAGGACCAAAAGCTAGTAGGGCCTCCCACAGTCCAACCAGAACCCCTGGAAAGCACCACCCCCTTTTCATGGTCACACACATTGGAATTGGAATGTTTTCTGCAGTCTTTCTTATATTAAAATGATTAAAAGCAAACAGTCACACATCCAAGCAAAAAACTCCTATCATAAGGCCCTTTGCCTGTTCCTCTGGCTCACATCTGAGCGTGCCCACGTACCTGCAGGGAAATCCGGCCGATGCCGCTGAGCAGCTGGGGCTCTTGCTCTGGGTAATACTTGATAACCGAATGGTACGCCTCCACGGCGAGCACATAATCCTGCGGGAAGAAAGACCCAGCGTACCTCAGAGCTGAGAAAAGCACTGCGGGTTTCACACGTGTAGAAGAGCACAAGCGTATACAGACGCGGCGTGGAGAGAGGACACGCTGACACACGAGCTGGCGGGGAAGCTGGAAACCAGCACGCGGCGCTCGGCTGTGAGGGGGCGGCTGCTCTCCAAACTGCAGTCAGGCCGGGATTCTGAGCTGTGTGCATCGCGCAGGCGGGGTCCTGCCTGTCATCGGGGGCCATTGGGGTTTAGTTGGGCCTGACGGTCTGTTTCCTGCTTCCATCTTCTAAACAGCAATTCGTATTTCACTTGGACCGCACCTAACTCTCTTTCCTGACAAAGCTATTATGTGAATAGGCGAACGCTGTCTCATCTCCAACCTCCAAATACATAAGCCAAATTTTTAAAGTGTCTCTTAAACGTTTTCTATGCTAGAAACTAAGGTCAAATCTTTAAATGTAGAGAAAACCCACAAAACAGCTTTGCCGAGGGGTTGGCCATGGGGGTCACCCTGGCAGAGCAGAGTGCGTGAATGTCGTCTGGTCTCTGTGGCACGCGTGGGACCCTCCCGTTTCGGAGACAGCTACGGGGGAACATTTAGGAGCGCTGTGCCAGCTGCCGTGCTCAGGGCATCTGCTTTCTGCCAAGGGCCTTTGCTGGATCCCTCATCACTCTGCTCTGTCTGTGGTGGTCTGGCCCGCGGCCCCTCCTCAAGGACAAGGCCTGGCAGCACCGTCTCACTGTCCACCTGCCCGCTCATGCTGGCCCATCGCAGGCACTTGGTGGATGCCGAGTGGACCCAGTCACCCTTTCCAGGTGTGAGCAAAGCGGTCTCAGTGCAGGAAGGTCTTGCCAGAGTCATGTGGGACACAGTGGTAGCTTGTCTCAAGTCCCCAACAAACCCGGGCTCTCTCTAGTATGACAGTGATCGCCACATTTACTGAGCAAGCTCTGTGCAGCAGGCCCTGCACTAAATACTCCCCTGCATTCTAGCACTTAGCTATAAGCACTTGGTCAGCAATAACGACGGCCACCAATGGTGTTTTCCTTCTTACTTATTCATCGTAAAATCCCAGAAGGTACTTTTATTTCTTTATTCTTCTACACGTTCCATTTCCTCCAAACTGGGACTGGAGTTACTAGCTTGCTAATTGGGATGTTACAAAGAAAGACAGACAAGTACAATTCCAGTTTGGTAGGAAGGAAAAAAAAAACCCAAAAAACAAAAAGACTGTCTCCAGTCTAGTACCTTCGAGTACAGCTCATTAAAACTAATTTTATTCAAGGCCTGACGCCCATGAGGAGCCAGACAGCACATGCCTCAGTCTCCTTTCCCACGCCTTCCTGCCGCCTGTCTCTGCTGTCTAGTTGTGCGAGTGTGAGCGTGTGTGAGCGTGCGTGTATGAGCATGAGAGCGTGTGTGCATGTGTGTGAGCATGTGTGTGCGTGTGTGTGAGCGTGTGTGAACGTGCGTGTATGAGCATGAGAGCGTATGTGTGTGAGCGTGTGTGTGCGTGTGTGTGTGCGTGTGTGAGTTCCCTCGCACAGAGCAGGGCTTTGTGACCTGGCATGGGGGCACTCGGGGTGGCTGAGGCTGCAGCTGGGATGGACACGGCACCCTTGATGCAGAGGCGGGGCCTGCACACCCTGGGCTGGTCCTGATCGGACAAGTTTGGGGGAGCAGCCCTGCCTTCCAACAGGGGCTGCACCCACCGGCTTTTCCGATCAGGGAAAATGGCCAAAAGAAGCTCTTTAGAGAGAGCTTAACCTACTCTCCAGATCACGTAGATTTGGCTTTGTGAAGGACATGAATGACTTGCTTCCAGGGACAAGCCTATTTTAGCTCAATCTTCACCATTTCTTTTCAGCAGTCACACGTGGTTTACTGGCTGTGAAACTAGATTTACAACCGTTCTGCAACCAGAAAGGACTTGTGCAGTCTAATTCCAGCAAGACGGAAGGTAGCTGATGCAGCTGCCTGCTCCTTTCCATCATGTGCGGAGCCATGGCGGGTGGTGATGTGCAGACTGGCGAGCTGTGGGGACACCAAGAGGGAAGTGGACTCCCAGGGGCACCGGGGGAGGGGAGGCCCAGGCCACCTAAGGTGGCAGGCACCTGCATCCATATAGTCTGCCAGTGCAGGTGCCCTAAGGCTACGGTGAGGCCTAAGGAGAGGAAGCAGTATTTAAAAAGTGAAGATAGTGACATTTTCAATGCTTTATAATACGTGCCACTGGGCATTGTAGCATATCATGCAGATTTATCCAGGGCTAAAACATATGAATACATTTCATTGTTAAGAAGTTAAATTGACATTTATTTCACTGTAATAAAAATGTTATTCAAGATAATTAAATGGCTGATTAAATAACTCATTGTTAGCCCACACGCATAATTTAATTAACAGGATACCCCCTTATTATTAAGACCACACACTGTTGCAATACCCTGTATGCTCACTAGATGGCAAGAGAGTGCATATGCTTGGATTGGCTTTAATTGCAACATTTTTTTGCTCCTTTTTTTAACTCAGGAAAATGAAAGCTTAAGCTGAACTTTCAAATTAAATCACGTCCATTGTAAAAGTATTTTTGAAATGCAATAATATGTTCTGTACTGAGTCCCAGCAATACAGGAGGAAGACTCCCATTTGGAGCCTGGTGGTGGTGTTACTACTACAGGGCAACAAAGAAAAGCTCACTCTATCGTTTTCTAGTAATGTGTCTTAAAATGCAAATAAAAGCCTGCCAGGGGAACAGGGAACTTTCCTCCCTGGGGAGTTTTAGCCCCATGATTAGTGAAACACCAGTCCTGTGAATTTATAATTGGTTCTTCATGTCTTTGCATAAGAATGTTCCAGCAAGCTGGTGACTTTCAGGTGAAGCCAACAGTCGTCTCAGAGGGTGGAGGCCTACTGTGGACCGCCCAGACTGCCAGGTGGGGTGTCAGGGCTAGCCACAGGCAGCACTGGGAGAATGGCCTGTTTTCAGGGGTAGAGGGGTCAGGCCGGGTGCTTCGGGGTCACCTGATTGCTGGCCCAGCCCTGGGTGGTGAAGAGGCCACCTCCCGCCTTCCAGCACGGAGGCCCAGGGCAGGGGAGCGGGAAGGCCTACTTTTCACTCCCGCTCGGAGGTGGGCAAGCCCTGCTGCAGAAGCCAGAGGGGGCTGGAGAAGGGAAGGGGGGCGGGTGGGAGGAGGGTGAGGACCAGAACAAAGTGACCATGCGGGCACCTGACCTCAGTGGGAATATCTCAGGGGTGGCAACGAAAGAAAAACCTGCTCTGAGCAAAACCACAGAACTTAAAAACCGTAATTTCCTTTATCCAGTGTGCTGAAGGAGAGGAGAGAGCTGTGTGAATGTCAGAGCTGGGAGGAATTTCAGAGATCTCAGATCTACGCCCTTATTTTGAAGGAGGACGCTGAGGCTTGCAGCAGTGCGAGGCTGCGTCACGGTTGCTTGCTACCGAGGACAAACAGGATGCCCTGAGTCTCCTTGTGCGTCCAGCTCGACGCAGCCGCAGAAACCCAAAGGCAGGGGCCCTGCGCTGGGCACTAGGGCTGCACTAAAGCCGGGGTGTGTGCTGCACACCTTCCTGACAGAGTGCCTGAGCTGCTGATGTTTGTGAATCTACACCCACACCCAGCCTGCTCGGAGCAGTGCCCCCGGCCACAGTCACCTCTGGGGATGCTGCAGGGTCCCTGCAGAAAGCAGGGCTGCCACTTCAGGGTTCACGACAGAGCCTGTGAGCACAGTTCTCCACCTGGTAAACTGTCTGCTCTGCCTTGCTGAAAATCAAACTCAGGAACGACCTTGGCCACATGAAAGCCGCATGGGTGTGGGAGGAGTTACGATCACTGTCTCAGAACAGCCCAGGAGGTGGTGTGAGCACTGCTTCGGGGCTTCTGCTGCTGGCTGATTCCTGCAGGAGCTCTCAGTATGCACAGCTGGCTGCAGGGCCATTAGCTCCACACAGGGCACCCCGACGCCCAGTGTGGGAGGTGAGCCAGGCATGGGTGCATTCCAAACAAAGAGAGGAGCCAAAAAACACCGTTGCACAGGCTAGCGAGAGCCAGGAGACACGGAAAAACAAATGACAGCCTCAGTTCAGCTCCCTGATTTCTAAGCTGTTTCCCTGGGGGCTGAGAGCTCTGGGGTGACGTCCTAAGAAAGTCTTGTGGGGAAGCTTGTCTTCAGGTGTTGCGAGCATCAATCATAAAATCAAAACCAAGAGGTGAAAAAAACACCCTCCACGAAGACAGGGAGAACAAAGGACACCTTCTGGGGATGGAATTCACAGAAAAATGGGGGAAAATGAACAACGCTTTAAATTAAATCATTTAGACCCACGTTTCAATAATGAAATCTGATCACGTAAATTCTACATTCTGTTGAAATCTCCTGCAGTAGAAATGAAAGTAAATATAGCCCCGTAATGTGTCACTGGGCTCCCTGTGAAGCCAGTACTTAGCTGGCTTCTCTCACGGCTACACCGGCCCATCCCTGCCAGCATCTATTATACCAGCGGCTCCCTCACGGCTCCCACTGACACACCCTCTTCCAGATCCCATGGCGGCCCTGCTCGGCGACCCACGTACCTTCATCAGGAGCAGACAGTTTGCCATGGAGTACATCACCCGGCCCAGACGTGACCTCCACAACCGGACAGAGGCTGCAAGGTAAGAGCAGCCTGTGAGTGCACAAATACATTTGAGGCTCTTTCTAGCCGTCAATTATTGGGTCCTGTGGATTCTAATTTAACTTTAAAAGATCCCTCTTGCTAATACCAATGGATTTCGGCATGGAATGCTGAATATGCTGCAGGCTGCACTGAGGCAGAAAATACAGCACTCGCGCTAGGACCAGAGGTGTCTTTGGGAAGAGACCCTCAGCATCAAGAGAACCAGGAGGGCGGCTGCTCAGCATCAGCCCAGACATGAAGCCAAACGGTCTGACCGGAAGCCCTGTTTCCACAGCCAGAACCCTGAGAAAAGAAGCAGAGCTGACAGAAATGACGACATTGTCTGTAGCTCGACAAGGCCAGGAGGGCCACTAGCCAGGGTGGCCGCCAGCCTCTCACAGTTGACCTATGGGAGGCCACCCGGAGGGCCCTACCCGTGCCCAGCCACAAGGCCTCCCCTGCCTCCCGGCCATGGGCTGGTGCAGGTGCCAGTTCCTCCAAGGAGTGCCACACCCTGGTCTAGAACTCAAGTGGCTGGCACATTTCTCTGGGGACTTGGCACTCCCCTGCAGCCAGCTTCCTTCCCTAGCACCCACTGCCTCACGGTGGCTGACCTCGACCCTGAGCCTGGCCCACCCCTCCCTGCTCTCTCCTGCATATTCGTTAGTTAGCAGCCCTCCCTCCACTGATTTCAAACCTTAGCAGCCATCCCTCCACTGATTTCAAACCATCCCTCCACTGACTTCAAACCTTAGCAGCCATCCCTCCACTGATTTCAAACCTTCAGGGCCCATCTCTTCTACAAGTTTCCAAACTGGCTTTGTGGACTTGCTGGGGTCTGCAAAGGCCCCTGGGGCAGGGCGGGCTGACCAACAGCACCTGTTTATTACTGGGATGGCCAGGGGGAAGGCGCAGGTTGAGGACTGAGCTTATCTGAAATGAGTATGTTATCGACAGGCAAGCTGAGGTCCAGAGAGGACAGGGACGTTTCCTCTGACCCCCGTCCAGTGCTCCTTGCGCCTGTACTGTGCCCACTAATAAGTCCACACCCCAACTGTGAAGTGCCAAGATGCCACCCTGGGCAGCACCAGTGCCTGGGAGCGCTCCCAGCCTCCCTCATTGCTGGGCACTGGGAGCTGTGTGTCCCCGGCTGCCTCTGAGGCTGTGATTTAGGAGGCTGAAGCTGACCTTCCTCTCGCAGCTGGCACCAAGTGTCCACAGTGAGATAACAATCACCGAGAAATGACGTGTATTCACGGTGTGCTTCAGGAGAACACACAGACACTTAATTGCTAGAATTAAAAACTTAACTCTGCCTTTCAGCAATTAAAAACAGAGTAGCTGCTTATATTCCCCTTGTACCACTATTTTTGTGAAAAGAAATTCTGAATATTTTCTCTTAATGGAGGTAAAATACAGATTACCTCAATGAATTGCATATTTATTCTGATGATCTTTGCAGTTTCTTTTCCTGCTTTAAATCCTCCCCTACCCTCCTTAGAAATGCTCATGGTGTAACCTTTTGTTAGATTTCCAGGAACAGCCTTCTGCTCTCTGATAACTACATGCTCATGCCCACCAAAGCGGGAGCCCAACAAGGGGTAACATGACTGGGTGCCAAGAATGCTGGATGGGACATCCAGGAGCAGATGGCGACGTCTCTCCTTCAGACCTTGTTACTCTACTTTCAATTAAATTACTGAAAAGAGAGCGCACAAGTGCACACACAAGCACACACCACACCCACACCACATGCCACAACATGCACATTCAACGTACACCCACCACATACACACCTCACACATGTTCAGCTCACACCAGCCAGCAGTTCCCCAGAAACTCCAGCACACCTGCAGAAACGCAGACCACCCGGTCCCGACTTGGGCTGCACACCGAGTAGGACAGAAGCTATGGGAAGGAGGAGATGACCAGGCAATCAGGCCTGTGGGGAGACGCTGCCACAAGCAGTGAGGGAGTGAGGCTCGGTGGGGCTGCCCGGGAGGGAGCACTCAGGCCGGGTTTCCAAGCGTGATCGGAAGCTCGCTCCTGGCTAACGCACTCCCCGAGACGCAGCTGGCACGGCCTCACTGTGCGGATCGGCCCGTGTCATGGCCTCACTGTGCGAATCGGGCCTCACTGTGCGGATCGGTCCATGTCACGGCCTCACTGTGCGGATCGGCCCGTGTCACGGCCTCACTGTGGGGATGGGCCCGTGTCACGGCCTCACTGTGCGGATGGGCCCGTGTCACGGCCTCACTGTGCGGATGGGCTCATGTCAACCCACCCAGTACCCCAGGGGTTTCCAATGCCTCAGGGAACCGCCCAGCCCCCTCAGCCTGCACCCAGGCTCTGGGCAGCGCCCATCTTCCGCTCCTGTTCCTTCTGAAGCACCCTCCCGAGCCTCTGTCCCTGACGCGGAGGCCTCTCTGGGCCCCTTCAGCTGGGCTGGGCTCCTTCCTCACTCCCACTCAGACCACCACGCGGCGCGCCAGGTTCCGGGCCGTGTGCTCCTGTGGTGAAGGCGAGTCTTCTCCCCGTGTGCAGGGCTCGGGTCTGAGGCTGCACGCGGCACCACAGCATCACCCAGTGATGTGCCTGGCTTCCCCAAGAAAGGGGCGAGTGGCAAATGCACGAAGGGGTGTGTGCAGTGCTGACTACGAAAAGGAAAGGAGAACAAGAGGACGCGAGAGGCTTTGGACTCAGTCTCTCAATGACGTCCGAGAAGCATCTCGTCAGCAAAGTCCGGCCGACCCACCTTGTCTGCCCTCCTCAGTCGCGCTGCTCACGGCCCCGTCTTCTGCTAAGCCTTGCTCCAGATTGGCCAGGATCTGCAATCATTCCAAATGACAAGGACAAAATCATGGGAACCAATTTTTGTCTAAGACTTTGTTATAATATATGCTCAGTACAGCAAATTTCTCTGGATGAAAACAATTTGTCAAGGGATGTTCACACACATTTTTAAAAAATATTAAAACATGTGATATTTTATTTTAAATTGCAACTTCATTTTAGATTCAGGTGCTACGTGTGCAGGTTACCTGGGCATAGCGGGTGATGCTGAGGTTGGGGGTATGATTGAGGCCATCATCCAGGTAGTCAGCGTGGGACCCAACAGATCGTTTTTCAGCCCTTCCTCCAATCCCACCCTCCCCCGACTGGTAGTCCCTGGTGTCTATTTTTGGCTTCTGTAGGTCCATGTAAATCCAATGTTTAGCTTCTACTTATAAGTGAAAACATTTACTATTTGGTTTTCTGTTTCTGTGTTAATTCAGTTAGGATAATGGCCTCCAGCTGCATCCACGTTGCTACGAAGGACATGATTTGGTTCTTTTTTTTATGATTGCATACTATTCCACAGTGTATGTGCACCGTCTTTTCCTTACCCAGTTCACCCACAGGGACACACTGTAAACATCGCCAGTCCCTATGGCGTGGGGTGACAATGAACGGGCAGGGACTCTGCTCCCAGCTGATGGTGAAAGTGGTGTTTATGATGTTCTTGAAGTATCTGCAGACATCATACATAGGGAGTATGTTTTTTAAGAAAAGCATCAACCCTGTAATCCCAACACTTTGGGAGGCCGGGGCAGGCGGATCACTTGAGACCAGCTTGGGCAACATGGCAAAACCCCACCTCTACAAAAATACAAAAAATTAGCTGGGCATGGTGGTGTGCACCTGTGGTTCCAGCTACTTGGGAGGCTGAGGTGGGAGGATCACTTGAGCCTGGGAGGTCAAGGCTTCAAGGCCGCAGTGACCAGTGACTGCACCACTGCACTCCGGCCTGGGTGACAGAGTGAGACCCTGTCTTTAAAGCATCGAGTATGTCACATGAGAGTGTGAGGACCTTCTGTGAAAATGTCAGTCTCATTCCCACAGGGCACTGTGCTAGTGGCCTTTTTAATGTACCAAATACGTTTTGTGCAACAACAGGTCACTTTCCACAGTTTTTATTGCTTGGTTTGTAACTTTTGGGCACTTCTTTTGTGTTTTGTTTTCCCTGAAAGCAAAGCTGCTGTTGCTGCTGTGATCTGGGTAGAGAATTTAGATCATCTTGCCAGTTAACACTCCCCACATGACCCGCCCCAGGAGGTGAGGATTTCCGTGTGTCCGACTCCCTGGTCTACACACACTGAGGACGAAGGCGGCCTCTCCTCACCCGCAGGGGCCGTTACTTCACACAAACTGGAGAACAGCTTGCTGTCAACACAAAGGATTTTTCCTCTTAACCGTTATCTTGGGCTACCTCGAGGACTCAGAGGACAACGTGGGGTTCAAAATGGCAACCTTGAAAAGAATCTAGCCAGTTTAAACTAGGGAAACAACATTCTTCAGTGAATCTGTCTTCTAAGGAATGATCATAACAACAGAAACTGACAAAAATGGAAGGCTTGGTGTTACCATGAAATTAACTTCCCTCACCCCTTGTACACAGTTGGTGGGAATGCAAATCAGTGCAACCACTACGGAGAACAGTCTGAGGTTTCTACAAAAAAACAAACAATAGAGCTACCATACAACCCAGCAATGCACGCCTAGATACACACCCCAAAGAAAAGAAAGGAAATCCGTCTATCAGAGATCTCTGCACAGCTGTGTGCGCTGCAGCCCTGTTCGCAACAGCCGAGACTTGGAAGCAGCCTACGTGTCCATCAGCAGACGACGGGAGAAAGGACTTGCTACATATACACGATGGAGTACGACTCGGCCATAAAAAAGGATGGGATCCTGTCATTTACAACAGCACAGATGGAACTGGAGGTCACTGTGTAAGTGACGTACGCCAGGCACAGAAAGACAAACATTGTATGTTCTCACTTATCTGTGGGAGCTAAACATTAAACAACTGAACTCATGGAGATGGAGAGCAGAAGGATGGTTACCAGAGGCTGGGAACAGTAGTGGGGGATGGAGTGGGGATGGTAACGGGTACAAAAAAAAAAATTAGAATGAATAAGACCTAGTATTTGCTAGTACAAGGGTGACTATAGTGTACATTAAAAAAATAACTGAGGGAGTATAATTGGCTTGTTGCAACACAAAGGATCAATGCTTGAGGGGATGGATACTCCATTTACCCGATGTGATTATTACGCATTGCCTGCCTATATCAAAATATCTCCTATAACCCATAAACACCTACTATGTATCCACAAAAATTAAAATTTACTAAAAAAAGGAAACTGACTTCCCTCAGGCTAGCACAGAGGGAGCACAGGAAGAAAGAGGAGCGGCACACCCATCACAGAGGCAAAGCCACTGTCCGAGCCAGACCTGGCAGCGCCCTGGTCAGTGGAGCCTTGAACACGCCCACTGGTGGTCCCCGGGGTGTGACCAGGTCAGTGGACTCCTGCGCTTGTTCTGTGCCTCCCCACACTGTGGGGGCTCTATGGGCCTGGGTGACCTCTCCACGTGGTGGGGGCTTTACGGGCCTGGGCAAACCCTCCACGCGGCAAGGCCTCTGTGGGCCTGGGCAATCTCTCCATGCCATGGGTGATCTCTCCACACGCTGAGTGGAGAGGAAAACTCTGCAGAAACACCCCAGAACTCTGTAGTGAGCATGCAAAGCCTGAGAGAAGACCTGCACCACAGGGCCATGGTGGTCTCAGCACAAGCTGCTGGGGCCGACGCTCCCTGTGGACTGTCATGGCTAATGAGGGGAGAAGGGGGAATGAGGTCCTTCAGAAGGGCAGCGGAAGAGAAAGGTCTAGAAAGAAGGAAAAAGAGTTTCCCACCCCAGTGATGCATACATGCAGGCAGAAACAGAAGCTCCATTGTAGCAGAGGCATCAAAAGCAGAGCACGTGAGTGACGGGCGCTCCACCTGCAGCAGCTGCTTCAGCCCAGACCCAGCCACCCAGCTGGGAAGGCGCAGGGGTAGGAGATGGAGACACCAGGCAGGCTACACTCCTCCAGACCCACCCACCCAGCTGGGAAGGGGTGCAGAGGTAGGAAGATGGAGACACCCAGGCAGGCTACACCCCTCAGACCCACCCACCCAGCTGGAGAGGTGTAGGGGTAGGAGACGGAGACACCAGGCAGGCTACACCCCTCCAGACCCACCCACCCAGCTGGGAAGGTGCAGGGGTAGGAGATGGAGACACCAGGCAGGCTACACCCCTCCAGACCCACCCACCCAGCTGGGAAGGCGCAGGGGTAGGAGATGGAGACACCAGGCAGGCTACACCCCTCCCGGGCCACCCACCCAGCTGGGAAGGTAAGGGGTAGGAGACGGAGACACCAGGCAGAGCTACACCCTCCAGACCCGACCCACCCAGCTGGGAAGGTGCAGGGGTAGGAGATGGAGACATCAGGCAGGCTACACCCCTCCAGACCCACCCACCCAGCTGGGAAGGTGCAGGGGTAGGAGACGGAGACACCAGGCAGGCTACACCCCTCCAGACCCACCCACTCAGCTGGGAAGGTGCAGGGCAGGAGACAGAGACACCAGGCAGGCCAAAATCCCTCAGACCCTCCAGACCCACCTACCTAGCTGGGAAGGCGCAGGGGTAGGAGACAGAGACACCAGGCAGGCTACACCCCTCCAGACCCATCTTCCCAGCTGGGAGGGCACATGGGTAGGACACGGAGACACCAGGCAGGCTACACCCCTCCCTCTGCAAAAAGCACTCTCCTGGCTGGGGCGGAGGGACGCACAGAATGATGCCAAGTGCCTGCAGGGATCTGGGTCACCGAGGTGCTTCAGCCCGAGAAAGGGACAGCTGGAGAAGGCACCTATTGTTGACATGAGCATAGGCACATCAGACACGACCCTCTGACCCTTGGTGACTATTGTTTCATTTGTAGGGTGTGTCATTTAATGTCAATTAATAGGTCCCAGCGTGATGCAGAAGAGCATCCATGAGTGAACGGAACAGAAACAGCAGTTCACAGTTGGTAGCTTTTATTGCTGTCTATCTAGAGACAGTTGTCTGGCTTTATAAAGTAACAGTACATTGATTTACAAAAGGTTATTTCTATAAAGGAAAGTGACAGACACGTTCTCAATCCAAAGCCTGAATTATTTCAGAAATGCAGCTATTGCAAAAAAAAGCCCGACAGTGTGTCGTTTGCAAATGTGGTGCGGCTGGAATTTCCTCCTTGGTTCCTTTTGCCCCAGACGAAAGGACCAGACTCCAGGCTCTATGTGAGAGACCACTCAGCAGTCCTGTGTTTGTGTCCCAGAAGAATAAAGGGCCAGCACGCCACACCCGGTTCATCTGGGAAGAGGCTGTGAGGAGTAGGGGCATGATTTGAAGCACATGTACCAAATCACTGCACTCACACCCTCCCTGCTGGAAGCCGCTGAGGGCCCAGGCGAGGGCATAGGAGGAAGAGGACAAAGATGAGGCAACGGTGCAGGTGCTTCAGGAAGATGCACAGGGCAGTAAGCGACCGACTGCGGGGGCAGGACTGTGGAGGGGAGAGTGACCACAGGGGCCAAGGGGCAGAAAGGGCTGGGTGTTGGAGGCACCTTTCTGCACATTTCCCAGGAGCTGCTCCCGGCGGGTTGAAGCTGGGTCAGGAGCTCAGTGGAGCTGTCTGGTCAGGCGCCGGCAGTGTGGGCGGTGCTTAGCGCCTGCTGGGAAGTACCAGGGACGATGTAGTTTACAGATGGGGGCGCAGGATGCTTTTTACGCACAAACAGTATTCTGTTTGATTTCACAAAAATAAACCTGTGGAGGAGGCAGCATCATGCCCATTTGCAGGGGCCCTTCACGCTTTCCACACACAGAGCAAAGTGCTGCAGTGACGAGAACAGGGATGTTCGGTGCCAGAAGGCGTGGGTTCAAGTTCAGGCTGACTTTCAGTGTACCTTCTCTGAA